AAGAGAAATTTCAAAAACTGTTACTTTTCAAATACCACTTTACAAAAATATTATACTTTTGAAATTTTTACATAAATGTTACTTTTTCAAAAAAAAAATTTATAGTATTTATGTTTGGATTAATTATATTCTATTAGTGTTTAGTTATAAATGTTTAGGGAGTTTTAGAGGTTAAAACATTTTTTAGGATTTAGAAATTTTAAGATATATGTTTTATAAATTTATAATTAGTAATATTTTTATAAATGGACATATCTAAATATTATTTTTATAAATATGCACATAAAAAATAGTATTTTTGTAATTGCCCCAAATATAAAATACCACAGAGGGAAACAAAGATAAGCAAGAAAGCACGAAAGGCTTTGCTTCTTACACATGTGTCCCGACAAATAAATAGTCACAGGTGCTGTGTCAGCTCTGTTCAACCAAACAATTCAACAAAAAAAGTTTAAAATTTTTATTACGAATTTTGTACCAAAAGTCAAATAAATTATGAAAAATGGTACTATAACCCCGAACTAAATGAATAAATCGTCTCATGGTGTAATCATTAATACGAAATTTATTCTAATTTGTATTTTTTATAATTTACTGTAGAGGTTTCTTTGAAGAGGGATAAAGTGCAAAAGAAAATCATAATACAAAACCGAAAAGAAAAGAATATAAGTAAATTTTAGTATAAGTTGTCTAATGAAAAAGCTGTGACTATAGAGATCTCTCCTCGAAGACAAACGGGGTACATTTTAAGAAAAGGTGAATCATTAAGGCTTTTTTTATTTAAAAAACAATTTTATTTTGAGACTTTCGGAGTCAAAAATAAAAGGCTTATCATTGAATTTTCAATTTTTAATTAATGGGTGTCATTACCCATAAAGCGCATTACGGAGCAAAAAAATAAAAGTCGGATTAGCCGCCCCAATACACCGTCCCTGCCCCATTTGTCCGAAATACCCCTCTCCGTTAAAATAATTAACGGATTTGCCTCTTAGTGGTATTTCCGTAAATAAATCTGACACTTGGAGGCCAATAAGACATTTTCGCAAACAGTAATAATTTTAAAAAAAAGCGGGTGAATTGAAACGCGGGCCTTAAATATTGACACGTGGTTAGTAACGTGTGGAGCGGATGGGCAAAACGCGACTTTCTTTTTTATGGCGCCACGGCTCTGTGCCAATGAATGCAGCCCGAACAAACGTAGCCGAAAGCAGCAGTACTCTAATTAATATATATAAATGATATATATATATATATATGAATAACTAAATATAAAATTAAATAAATTATTTTACTATATTTATTTATATGTATTCTAATACATTATATATATACTAGTCATAAGTTATAATAATAATTTTATTCAATTATTTTTTTATTAAATTATTATTTTATTATAATACTATTTAACAAATAAAAAAATAAACTAATGTTAAATATTAGGTTTTAGTTTTAATATAAATATATTTATAAAATTATAACCTAATTTTTAATAATATTTTTAAATTTAAATTATATTAAACTAAATTTATTGTTTTATTTTGATATTATTTTAAAATAATAAAACCAATAAACAATGATAAATATTAAATAAAATAAATAAAAGTTAATATAATTTATTTTTAATTAGTTATTTAATATTTTTTAAATATTTTTTAATAATATCATAGATTAAAACTCAGAAAAAAACTTTATTTAGGAACATTGAAGGTAGTAACATTTAGAAAGCATTAACATTTACTAAACGCTCTGTTTAACGCTTTGTAAATCAATCAAATTTTAATGATAAAAAGTATGATGCTCATGTAAATATTTTACCAATCAAGGTCGTAATACCAGTGCCGACGTTAATTAGCCGCGTTTAAAAAAGTGGGGTCCTACCTTAACCTAATATATTTCGTGTTGGATTGGATGTAATTTAAAATCATTTGAAATCATGAATGTATTTTATTTTATTTTTGTATAAAAGGTTTTGAAATTATGAATGTTGTAATACGGAAAAGAATGGAATCATATATGATACGATGCTTTTACGGTCTACTTAATTTCGTAAGAATTTTAAGAAATTAAATTAACGTGTTAAGTACGTTGTTTAAAATTTTGTTTTTGTTTTTCTGGCTAAAAAATAAATATTTTGTATAAAATAAATCGTTTTGAGTTTACATTTGAGATTATAACCTATATACAATAGTTCCACAGAAAAAAAAATAAAAACATGAAAACATATATTAAAAAGTTTTTCAGTCCTCGACAAAAATACGAAGTTAATGGAGTCAAACGAAGTGATAACGATGTTCTTTGTTCTCTCCATTTCAAATTCTGGAGTTAAAACTGTTATAGCGAACCACATAAGACTAAAATACGAAGGACGAAGGCATAAGAAGTCATGCAAAGGACGTTCGATAGTGAATCGTCAACGGTACAAACCACACAACCCTCGATCACAAACTTCTTCGCGTCTTGTGAGTGTGGATGGTAGCACATACCATGACAGAATTTTGTTTTTGTATATGCTAATTGAGTTTGTTGAGTTAAAAACTTGACGTAGTTGAATTATACCCTGTATCAAAACCTAAAACCCAAGTGTCACATTGTAAGATAAATACTTTTTCCGTTTTAAAATATAAATTGTTTTGGAGGTTTTTTTGTTTTAAAATGTAAGTTGTTTTGACAATTCTAAATATTTTTTTTAACTTTATTGAATATTGTGTGATCACTAATATTTTGCAATTTTTTGTGTAATTGGTTAAATTATTTTTATTAAATATATTAAATAACACTTTTTAGTAGAAAATTTATTTTTTAACATTCGCGTTTTTAACTAAAACAATTTAAGTTTTTAAACGGAGGGAGTAATATGTATGAACTATGAGGAATAACCATGTAAAAATCTCACGTGTCACTGTAGGATTTTTGTTAAAACAAAAACATCTGTTACACAAAAATAAATATTTTATCTTTATGCAAAATTTGTATAAATCCTTTGCTGATTATTTATAGTCAAGAGAATATTAATACGTATGTAATCAGAAACACATGTGATATTAATATTATTATGTTACTTTCGAACAAAAAAAAAAAAATATTATGTTACTTAGGGGTGAAATTATTATCCGAGATCCGATCCGTTATTCGTTCGGAATCGTTCCGAAAATTAGGATATCTGGGGAGTCCGGATCCGGATAAGGATAGTAAAATTTAGGATCCGTGAAAAGATGATCCGGATAGCAAAATTTTAAGGTCCGGATATCCGGATAGCAAAATTTTAAGGTCCGGATATCCGGATCCGGAACCGGACGCATTAAATATATTAAAACCGTATATATTATATATCTATTAAACTAATTTATATAAATATATATATATAAAAATTGATTTTAGTTCTTTT